CTCAACATGGAAGCTTGAGAAAGTTTGATTAGAATTGAATTGTTAAAAGCACTATTATTATATATAATGGAAACTATGTTGTTATCATCAATAGGTCGCATACGTATGCCTCAGAATTCAGCAAACTTTTCTTCCCACATTCAACACCTTCAATAGGTTCCCTTACCTTCAATTTTACCCACATAAATAATTTACAAAATTAAGCACCGAATATGATCCTTTCTTTCACACCACTTGTCACAATTTTCTTTCGATTTGTTCAATGAATGGCTTTAGTTAATTAATACGAAACACTATGCTAAAATTAGTTTAAGTGGTGTGAAGCACTATACTAATGGTTGACTGTTGTTACTAATCATTAGTATACAAGAGGGTTTTTTTCTATGTTTATTATTTTGAATTTTTGTTATGTTTGATTAAGGTTCAAAGTAAATTTACGTCAGAATAACTGGTTTTATTCACTCCTCCACTTGCCTTCCCCAATGGTTACCTCTCCAATAACAAAGTTCAATGGAACCGCATTGTTCACTTGCTCCATGCAAAAAAATATGTTTTATTATTTTAGTTGCATTGTATTCTTCTTTGTGAGATGAAGAAAGATTTTGTTCAAGTAATTTGAGTTTTGCTACAATTGTTGTTCGTCCTGATTTCTCATTACCTAACCCAATCATTCGATTTTAAGTGATAAATTTGTGAAGTTTCATCTTCTTTTTTGGAAGTTTTGCTACAAAGTATTCAATGAAAAAGGATAGAACTAGAAGTTTTCGATGAGGGGACAATATTAAATATAATATATATTAAAATTATTTGTAATATATATATATATATATATATATATATATATATATATATATATAAATTATTAAAAATTATAAATCATCTTGACATAAAATAAATATACATTAGATTAAATATGTTTTAAGAGTGTTTAATGATATTTTATATTATAAAAATTATCAATTATTATATAATTTATATTGTAAGTTACTCAATAATATTTTATTAATTTAAATTTAGTAAGTTAAAATTTATTTTATCATATATTTTCTTTTTTTTTCTTAAAAAAATGAATAGATAAATTTTTTATAGACATGTTTAAAACTCAAATTAATTTTTTTTTATATTTTAACATCAAAATTCAACATCATAATATTAAAATAACGAATTAATCAATAATAAATAATATACATACTAAATAGGCTATAATAATAAACAAAAATAATAAAACAAATGTTTACTTCAAGAGTAAATTAAAGAGAAAAACTTACAATTTTTATAAGATGAAAATGTGAAAGAAAAATGAAAGTGAAAAGAATAATTAAAAAAAAACATAAAAATGAAATAGTGATAAAAAAGGGTAAAAATATGAAATTGAAGTGTAAAAAGTAAAAACGTGGAAAAAGAAAAAAAAGATATAAATAAAAAAATTATTATTATTATTATTATTATTATTTATAAAAACATAATAATATATATTTATATTTAAAAAATAAATTTATTTTCCCTCCTTGATTCCATATCTGCTCAGTGGAATCATTCATAATTAAAATTCAAGAAAAAATTACGGTTTCAATTTTAATAAAAAATAGAGATATAAAACACTAATTTCAATCTCACACAATACAAATCTAAATATTCCAATCCAATCGAAAAAATATCCAAAATTAGAAATGAGTCACAATGATAATATCCTCGCAACTCAATATGATAAAAAAAGTCCAATAAAATCATCCTAAAAAAATATGAAACAAATTTTACTTTTAATTTATGTAAAAAAATAGTTTTAATTTGAAAATATCATCGCTTTTGTTTTTTACATGTAAATCTAAGATGAAAAAAATTAACATTAACAAAATCTCCCAAGTCTATATATATATATATATATATATATATATATATATATATATATATATATATATATATATATATATATATATATATATAATATATATATATATATATATATATATATATATATATATATATATATATATATGGTACATTTCGAAATCCAAAATTTCAAAATGAAGTTTGAAGTTTCGAATAGTGTAAAATTGTTGTTCAACTTGTTGATTGAAATGAAAATCCTAAACAATAGCCAAATGTAAAAAAAAAATAAAAAAAAATCAGCCACTTTTAGGTAAGGATTCTAGTCAATAGTTACTCACTTTATTCCACAATAGTAATCTTTTAAAATTATAATTAAGAAATACTCATTTAACACAAAATGTAAATCAAAATATTTTTTATTTACCTAAAATTATGCCTTTATTTAATGCAAGTAATACTACATTTATCTATCCTCTTCATTATATGTTGACAAAATTAATTTAAAAAAAATATTAATTTGAAACAAAAACTAAAAATTATTATTTAAGATGGGAGAAAGTACTACAAGATTATTTGAGGTGTAGATTATCACGTCCCACTTTATGAGATTATTTGACATTATATATATAGGATTAAAATATATGTAAATTAAAATCATTCTATTCCGTGTTTGATTATTTGATGAGTTGAGTGCATATTTCTAATTCTCTTTTTTATAAAGTATTTGTATTTCCAAACATATCCCACTTTGATTTGCATTCTTGCAAAATTTACTTTACAAGTTCTTTTCCTTTTTAATATGCGTTTCTTCTCTTCCAAGTTTCTTTTTCTTTAATTTCAAGTTTTGGAATTTACGTACTTACTTTTCCACCATTTTTTAATTGCTTTTTTGAATTTAAGTTTCTCACGTATTTACATTGCAAGTATTTTTATATTTTTGACTACTTTACATATTTCTCTCTTTCTTAGATCGCACATTTTATAATCTTCTCAATCTATTTCTTTTCTTTAATTTTTTGCATTTACAAATTCTTGTTACATTTTAGCAATGTCTTATCTTTCCACTTTTAATGTTATTTTTTGTTCTGTGAAATTTCGAATTAGTACTCTGACTTTAATTTTTTTTTTTATTCTAATATTGAATCTCCAAATCATGCATATATAATAGGGCTTTTAACAGCAGAAATTATTAATCTATCAATGTATGAACATGAAAATTTGAATCAAGTGATCTAGAGATTCCATTTGCATATATACTTTATGGATATGCTTTAAATTATTAATTAGGAAATGGAGAGTAAGCTGGAGAAGACAACGTTTCGAATGGGAGAAGAAAATGGAGGAGGAAATGCTAAGTAAGATTCAGGGCATAACACTTAATAGGGGTACAGATGATAGGTGGTTGTGGGGACCGAATAAAAATGAAAGGTATATTGTTAAAGAAGCATGAGTCTCTAAACGAAGAAACTTGCAATGAGAACGAATCGATTTTTAAATGGTACTGGAAAATTAAAGCGATACCAAAGGCCATGGTTTTAGGGTGGAAAATTCTTCGGGATAGGATCCCTACAAAGGTAAATTTAGCTAGGAGAAGGGTTGATATAGGTAACCCAAAATGCACATTGTGTGGGAGTGAGGACGAAACATCCAATCATCTCTTTTTTACGTGCAAGATGACCAGGGAGATCTGGGAAAAGTGCTTTAGATGGGTGGGTATAAGCTTTGTTAGCCATTGTGAGGCGAAAGCAAGCCTGGAAAGCTTTGCATTAGGTGGATTGGGAACGAAGGGAAACATGTTGTGGAAAAGACTATGGGTAGCAGTGGTATATGAAATATGGTCTCAAAGAAATAATTGTATTTTTAAAAATGGTAAATTTGAAGCAGAAGTAGGATTTAGTAAAGCGAGTGCAAATTTCACTGCTTGGTGCGCTAGAGACTGGGATGGAGCGAGCCTAGCAAGTTCCGATTGGTTCTATGAACCGGTAAGATGTATGAGACTAATTGCCATTTAGCTTCTCTTTTGTCTGTGCTGGCTGATATATGTCTTCTCAGGTTAAAGTGTGTAATCATGCCACAATGATGATGATTCATATAAGAAGACGGTGAGCGAGAGTTTCCGAGAGCTACAAGGCTTTTTTTTCTTAACCTTGATGTAAACCTGTCTTAGTCTCAACATTTTACCCGAAACTAGTTTCCTTTAGGCACCGCTGGGGTAACTAAACCCGTATCTTTGAGCTTTCGTTCTTGTGACCCAGCGAGGTGTGTTTTTATTTCGTTCATCTAGCTTCTTTTAGTTGTATTTGGGTTGAAATACCCCTTTGTACTTCTATTAATTTTATTCTTTGTTGCCGGTCAAAAAAAAAATTATTAATTAGGACTAAAAAAATTGTTACCCATTATAAAAAAAAGTGTTAAACTTTAAAAGTTTTAATATACTAAAAATATGTTTGAATAAATTTCTCTATAAATATCTTTTAATGAAGGAAAAAAAAGTAAAAAATAAAATATTTTTTATAAATTTAAATAAGTTCATGCAATATAATTTTTTTTAAATCATAGAAAAGCTACCTTTTTTTCTTTCTCTTGTATATAAATAGTTTGTCCAATCAAACCCTAACTAGAAACACAGTGTAATCTGAAAGACTTTAGCTTTCATAAGCTAATTATGACTCATTTCCAAGGATAAACAGATAACTGCTGATGTCACAGTACTTGACGTCCCTCTTTCACAGAAGTTCATGAATCTCACAGCTTCTGCACTTAGTCTACACACACGTAGCTAAATTTAGGCACAAACCCTTGTCCCTAACCACGATTTTTGTTCGTGGTCCTTCATGAATTTAGAAGTCAATTCATGGCCCAACATTTCCCAGGATATCGTTTAGAACGACAACAGTTCCAATCAAAATTTAAGACAAACATAATTTGCTTATGCAAAATAAAATTTCGGTGCGGTGTGTTGCATATAAGCATCGATCGCATATACGTACGATTTTTCAAAATTATTTATGAAAATAAATATTTGTCTCTTAATTTTATACACAAATATAGCATTACACAAGTAACTATAACTTGCATAAATTAATGTTGTTCGGATACGTAAGAGTCTGAGTCACATTTTGCATGCAAAGCCCACAGGACACGAATTTCCCTTCTTACAGCTATCAAAGTTAGATATGAACGTCATCAAAGTTGGCTAAATCTATATCGTAGTGTCCAATGTCATCAATGCAAACACCACACCACACCACACCAAGGTTAGCCAAATCTTGTAGTAGTGTCTGTAGCATGCGTAGTGTTACACCTGTCAACAAGGTTTGAATTTGTGGTGACACTGCAATGGCAGAATTAAAGATAATTGCAGAGAAAGAAAAAAGGTGACGCAGCACTTGCTATGTATAATCATGAACATCTCAAAAAACACAATTTTGCTGTCATAGTTATAGCCGTACAGAACAAATTTTGAATTAAAAGAACCATACTTTATACCAAGGAAAACAAATCCGTTTTCTCTGGAACTTGCAAAAAGTGTTGGCTATGTAAGTTAATCGCCATGGCCCTCGTAACATTCAAATTTAGGATAGTTTTGATGCTATTGTTTGATTAAATATATTTTTGAACTACCTAAAAACCTTGTTTAATTTTATAACTAGTTTTCCATAAACATCAGTTTTAATTAGGTATCAATAAGTTGCTTCTTATTTTAAAATTTATAAAATAAAAATTTATAATATCATAGGTTTAGAGTAAAAGGTTTAGGAATTTAGATTTAAGATTTAAGGTTTAGGAATGTTGATTTTATTTCATAATTTTTTTAATAAATTTTAATAAAATTATTTTTTCTATTTATTAATTTTTGGAAGTTGTTTGATAAAATAAATATTAAATTTTTTTAAACAATTTATCATCTCTTATAAAATTATTCCAATAAAAATTACTTTAAACAACTAATATTTATTTATTTAAAATATTAAAAATATTATCATGTAATATTTTGTAACACACTACTTCAGCTAATTATTTTTTTCAACACCAATGTCTAATAATGTTTGTTCAATTCGTTTTATCACATTAAATTATATTTTAAGAGATTTTAACCATTGTATCAATATAATAATCAATAATTACCAATTAATAATTTTCAGTTATTTATTTTTATTTTCTTCTAATTTTGTAGGTTTTAGTTTGTCTTTTAATTGGTTTTGTGAAGCATGACCTAAGGAAGCAAAGGGTTCCTGATTTATTGGATCCATAGTTGTTGGAGAATAATGATAAAAAATAAAAAATTAGGTTAAATGGTGCAACATTTGGGTGTGGTGGCATGGCAATGGTTTAAGAAGATGGTGTGGTCCTGTTACTCTCTCTAAATTATTGTGTTTAAGAAGAAGAAGAGGGGCACAGTTGGTAATGGAGATGAACCATGTGTCACGCTCTGTGAGAATGTGTGCTTCAGTGTACCAAACCTACAATATAAAAATCAGTGATTGATGTGAGAGCAAAGCAGCACAACAATAATAGATTAATATATCTCCGAAGAAGAAGAAGAAGAAGAAGGTGGTGTCTGATTCGGTTCCAAAACAATGCACAGAAACTTGGAGAAGATGCATGTAACACAACACAACACAACACAACACAACCTAATTAATTAGATTCAACGTTTTTTGGCAGACATGCATACATAAGCAGTGAGAGATGATTTTAAGGTATATACCAGCATGCATGGGTGATATGTCACACGTGTCCGAAGTTGCATATGATTGACATGTAATTAATCACACACATTTTTTTTTTAATATGTCCTTCAACGCCGCTATCACCCCACAAAATAAATATAGGGTTATAATAATGAAATTCATTCAATATTATTATTATTATTATTATTATTATTATTATTATTATTATTATTATTATTATTTTATATATATTCATAAACTTTCACGTTATTTAAAATTCGAGATTAAAAATTGTTTATTTACATTTAAGTTGTTGAAAAAGAAAATACGTGTAATTATTACAGTTTTTAATAAAAATTGTAATAATTACAGACATTTTCTTTTGTATTCTTCTTTATTAATAAATTTGAAAATCATTCTTCTTTATTAATAAATTTGAAAATAAGAAATATGGTTAAAGTGACTCCAAATTTTTGGAGTTTGTTGATAAACATAATAAACATTAATTTTGTCTTTATTCAATATTTAGTAACGATAAAATTAGATACAAATATATTTTAGTAATGATAATAGTAATAATACTGATGAAAATAATAATAATAATAATAATAATAATAATAATAATAATAATAATAATATAAGTGAAGATAATTATAAAATAATTGAAGTAAAAATAATAAAGTATAAGAAATAAAAATTTAATGAAGTCTAATTAACTTTTCACTCTTAGCAAGACCAAGAAAAAAATGCGATCATAACTACAACAATTGTTAGTTGGGCCTTTATTTTTTTCTTTATCCAATAGTTGGGTTTCAAACTAGCTCTTCTGATTCTCATGTATCCAAAAACCTCAATTTTACGAGTTTTTAGACATGCTTAAGAAAAATATGGGCATTAGGGTTTTAAACGTGTGTTTGACTTCCCAAAAATAATTTAACTTGCTTGTAGATAAAAGCAAAAGATTTTTCACTCTCCTACGTATGGTAAAAGGTTAAATATTTTGATAAAATGTTTTAATATAAAAGTTTATTTTACAAGAACATAGAGCTATTTCAACAAACACATGTTTACTAAATTGATTGAATACAATAAAATGATTTTTCATCATAATTCTAAAATAATTAAAACTAATGATATTTATTTATTGAAAGAGTTTGTACATACAACTATTATGTAATAATATCTACTTTCAATTATGGATATGTTGGTTTTAAGAGATAATCATATATTCTCCTATCATTCTTCTCGAATGTAATTAAAAATAAATATTCTAAAAAAATGTCTCAAGGACTGACCATTTTCAAATACCTCTTTGTGTAAACTAGGAGTGACTTATTGTTAAAGAATATGTTTTATTTTTATGAAAATTGTCAACACTAGTGCACACTCGGGTTTTAACATAAGTTATGTTGGTCTTTTCACGTAAAACATGGGATTGATACTAATGCCGGAGATGTATATTTATGCTGAACATAATAATCAATGTTAATTTTAGTCATTTATATTGACAATCAACATTCATTTATATATATATATATATAAAGTAAGAAACAGACGTAAATATGTTAAAAAAAAAAGTAAAATTTGCACGGATTGTGTTGATCAACATAAATTTACATCTAATTTAGCTTTAACTAATATATATTTAAGTTAGTTAAAACAAAATTTGATGTAAATTTCATTTTTTTTTAATATTCATTTTGTTTTGTCTTATAACTAAAACATGCATACATATTTTAAACACAAACAATTTAGATTTCATATTCAAGAGACACAATAATTTAGAATACAACAATACAAAAAAATATAAACTAGTAAAAACTAAACTACTTAAAAGCTAAACTAGTACACAACAATACAAAAAAAATATAAACTAGTAAAAACTAAACTACTTAAAAGCTAAACTAGTACTAAGACTAAACTACTTAAAAACTAAACTAGTACAAAAACTAAACTACTTAAATGCTAAACTACATAATACAATATAATATAATACAAACAATAACTTACAAATTAAGTATTAGAAATTTTGAAAAAAAATTTTGTCTATTATTCTTTAATTTGTGTAATATCATGTTCTGATAATGGTGATGAATCTTGAAATACTTGAAATATTAATTTGACTCTCGTTGATATGAAATACGCATAAAGGTAAATCAACTTACCAAATATTAAAACAAATTACCTTCGTCCAAGAATTAGTTATACCCTCATAAATTATGACTCTCATCAAATATATGTAGCAAGTCCCATTTAAAGGAGTCTGTTTGCTTATTATACTAAAATGAGAAACAAAATACAATGTTATTTTTAAAATTTAAATAAAAACAATAATTATGGTGTTTATATAAATAAGTTTCTAACCTTATGATAAATGAAGTGCGAATTCTTTGTTATGGGTCTTTCACCGAGAACATTAGTTCTATACACGATTCTAATTGAAATAAAGTCAAATGTTATTCAATATATATTTACACTTTTAAAACATAATGAAAAAAAAAAGTTACCCTTGTAATAGACTTTTTATTTCTTAACTTGATTTTTGGTGTAATGAACAAAATCACACTATAGTGTAATATCTGGGAATGATTACAATTAACTGTCAATGAGACCTACATTATATGACATAAAAATTAAGACACATCTTTAATGTAAAAAAATAATTTTTGTATAATATGCAATAATTAGGGCATGTATGTATCTTCTTGTACCTTAAATCCATTGGACATAATATCTTTTTTTCCTCATATTTATGATTAAACAATGTGTTATCTTTGGTAAACATTTCTTTCAACAACTCCAATAATTCGGTGAAACTTTTATCTGTCCATCCATTTCTTGCTTTTAAATTGAATAATCTTAAAGTTAATGATAATCTTGTAAAACTGCATCCTGGGTACAATTGTTGCTTAAATCATATTTCAAAAAGTCATACATATGTGCTTTTTCAAAATTTCCTGTTGTTGACATAATTGAAATGTCTAATATTTCTCAATTCTTAATAATATCATAGACAAATAAGTGATCACATATATCCCCAAGTTGACAAATTTAATTCAAACAATGAACACATGAACAATAATATGTCCCTTTGATATGTTTTCCATTTTCATGAACAAATTACAAAAACTCCTCAACTCCCTTTTCGTACTCTTCACTAATACGACTTGTATTCGTTTAACTCCGGTTCATAACTACCTATGTTATAAATTTTCATCACTTCTAAAGATTCAAACACATTCATATTTTGAAAAAAAAAATACAAAAAACAAAACACATGAGATTCAAACAAATAAGCTATGATAACATAACAATGCAGTGTATAAACCGTAGTTGCACTCAAATGAATAAACGAATAATCACAAATAATAACAGTTTAATTTCAATAACAATACAGTGGAGACATTCATGTAATCTTGTGATTCAAATCCTAAAAAACAATTACGAATTCAATTTGAACATAAAAAAAGAGACATAATACATTAAACTAAAAAAAAATATACAAAATGCTCTAAAACTCAAATCCAATAAGAGAAAAACTTCAATCACCATAGCCGCTTATCATGGTCGGAAAGTATCTTAAAGGTGCTGCAATGGTTACTGTCATGATTGTTGACTCGAAAACTCTTGCAAGTGCGATGAAGAAGTTGTCTTGGTGAAAATAAAATGCAGCTTTAACGTTGAACTTCACAAGGACTACCGTAAAAGATATATCTATTATTTACAAAGATGCCACAACATTTTTTTTAACATTGTTATTAAAATGCTCTGCAAAAATTACCTCAAATATCCAAGTTATTAAAATGAAAGTTTAACTTAAAAAAAATGTTTTCATATGCATTAAAAAAATAATCATTTAATTTAAACAATAATATTTATATAAATCATCTTAGATCATATATGTTAAACAACATTGTTTATCCAAAAATCACATTTATAAACAATTACTTAAATAATCTTTATAATAACTAGTAGAAATATAAACATTAAAGTATACTTGTGTTCACATGCTTTATATTATTAGTTTTATTTTAAAAAATTCATTTCTTTTATGTACTCACTTTTCTTTCATTCGTTTATATCACATTTTTTCTTTATTTATATATTTAATAAAAGTAATATTATATTATAAACTATATACTAAAAGGGATTAAAAGAAGAGTTTTATATATATATATATATATATATATATATATATATATAATATAATATAAATAAAGTTAGTAAAATATATATTTTATTTTTAAAAATATTATTAAAAATATTTTTGAAATTAAAAAAATAAAACTAAATGAAAGAAAGTACTTAGCTTTAAGAGAATTGGTTTAGTGGTGAAGCTCAGTACTTAATGCATGTGTAAATAAACAATTGAATGTTATATGTGTAAATAAACACTTAAACACAATTTATAATAAGAATTTAAAGAATAGGTTATGGATTAAACCGTACTTGCATTCAAATGAATAAACCATGAAAATATAACCATGTAATAACCATGTAATGTATAATCCGTAGTTGCACTCAAATGAATAAATGGATAATCACAAACAATAATAGTTCAATTTCAATAACAATATAGTGGAGACATTCATGTAATATTGTGATGAAAATCTTCAAAAACAATCATGGATTTAATTTGAACATAAAAAGAGAGATATAGAACACTAAACTAAAAAAATACACAAAACACTCAAAAACTCAAATTCAATAAGAGAGAAAAGCCAAACACCATAAATGGGACACAATGTTGGTGTTATTACTGCTCACCATGGTAAAAAAAATATCCTTAA